TTGGTGGTGAAGAAGGACTGATAATACATCATGGAACAGCCAGGTTGGACCGTCCCATCTTCACCGCGCCTCTTGGGTTCCCGCGTCTCTCATTGGCTAGATTTGTGGAGATTGGGGCTTTTGCTGATTTTCTTTAGGTCACTTGGATGAGGCGATTAAGACCTTGGCCCGTCCCGGCCTATTGCAAGTGACTCGCACCCAGGGGAGAAGGGTCTGAGCAAATCCTAGCCAGGAGTGAACATACGGAAACTGGTCAGGGTGTCCTGGTTCTCCTGTTACGACTCGCCATACTCGATGAATCATTGAGACATCCAATGGCCCTTCTGAAGGCCACCCAACATCAAAGGTGGGCCATTCCAATTCACATAGGGTTCTCAACTTGCCGGGGTTCATCCTGACTCCATAGTCTCCCAAAAACCCTTTTCCTTGAACTTTGGGGCTGGTAAGTGGTATGGAGTCTCCAGGTGATGTTGAGAGATTTGGTCAAGACCTATACAATGTCTGTCACAAATGCGGGTCCACTGTCACTATGATTGTTAATGGCAGGCTGAACCGGGGCATGATTTCCCACAAGAGGACTTTAGCTACTTCCTGGCTTTGCTCTGTCCTGGTCGGGAAGGCTTCAACCCATCCAGAGTATGTGCATACTATTACTAGGAGATATCTAAACCCCCTGCTCGGCTGCACATCTGTGAAGTCTACCTCTAGATCTTCAAAGGGGATTGCTCCCATCCTCTGGACACCTGGCGGGGACCGTGGTGCAGACCAAGCATTATTTTTAGCACGTTATGCATCGTTCACTCATTGCTCGGCATAGTGCTAGCAGCTGATTGATGTAGTAGTGCTTCTTAAGAAGGGCCTCTAATGCAGTTTTTCCCAGATGAGTGAGTCAGTGGTGTTCCTTGACCAGATGCCCTCCAGTTACTGTTGGAACAAAGATGCGCCCATCTGGCATCATCCACCATCCCTTTTCAGTCAGGGTGGCCCCCTCAGTCATGGCCCATTCCTTTTCCTTTTTAGCGTAACTGGGCGGAGGGATGTCTTCTGGGGGGTGTTAGCACCATGGTGAGGGAAGGGGCTCTGTCTATGTCCTCACTGGCTGCGGTCTTGGCTGCTTCATCTGCCAGATGATTTCCCTGCACTATGGGGTTGTCTCCTTTCTGGTGTCCCTTATAGTGCAGGATTGCTACTTCCTTTGGAAGCCAGATGGCTTCGAGGAGTCTCAGTATCTCCTCCTTGTTCTTGATAGCTTTTCCTGCTGCAGTTAGGAGGCCCCTTTCCTTGTAGTTGGCTCCATGTATATATACAGCAGCAAAGGCGTACCAAAAGTCAGTATAGATGTTGACTCTCTTGCCTTCACCGAGGGTGAGGGCTCCGACTAAGGCATATAATTCAGCCCGTTGAGCTGACCATCCAGCCGGTAATGCCTTAGCTTCTAGGACTTCAGTGGTTGTGGTTACTGCATAACCTGCTTTCTGGGCACCCTCTTGTAGGTAACTGCTGCCATTGCTAAACAGCATGAGCTCTGGATTCTTTATGGCTTGATCCCACAGATCTGGACGGCTCAGGTGGACTTCACCAGTCACCTCGGAGCAGTCATGGTCTGGTTCCCCCTCTTCCGTGGGGAGAAAGGTTAATGTCCATACTGTTTCGAGGGTGACCTGTGGGTTTTCACAGAGGAGCCCTTGGTATTGTGCTAGCCGAGACTTGGAAAGGAAGCGGTGTCCCTGTGCGTTCATGAGGGACACAATTGCATGAGGGACCCTGACGTTAAGTTCTTGCCCCAGGGTAAGTTTGTCCACTTCCTTGATGAGTAGGACTGTGGCTGCCAGCGCCCTGAGGCATGGTGGCCATCCTCCTGCCACGGGGTCCAGCTTCTTTGACAGGTAAGCAACCAGCAGTTGCCAGGGTCCAACAGTCTGGGTGAGTACCCCAAGTGCTATTTTTTCCTTTTCAGTCCAGGCAGGGGGTTCTTGATCTGGTCCCCCTAAGAGATCATAAAGGGGTCTTGCTATTGCTAAGAACCCAGGGATCCAGATGTGGCAGAATCCTGCAGCCCCCAGGAATTCTCGTAGGCCCCTTTTTGTCTGGGGCTGTGGCAGGGAGATGATGATCCTTTCCCTCTCTAGCCCTAGATCTCTTTTCCCTTGGGTGAGGAGAAAACCAAGGTATTAGACCTGTAGTTGGCAGATTTGTGCCTTCTTTCATGAGGCTTGGTATCCTGAGTCTGACAGTTTTTTTCTGAGCCACTTAGGTGTCCCCGAGGGTTGCTTTTTAAACACACAGCTTCTGGGATATTCCCCCCATCCCGGGGGTTGCTTTTTAAACACACAGCTTCTGGGATATTCCCCCCATCCCACCCATTTTGATTCAGTGGGTTTGCATAGGCCGGATAGTATTATACCCAGTGCTCATCACAACACGTGCCCTCTGTAATACCCATCACCTGGCTTCCCCATCCCCCAAATAGTTGCCTTTTTAACAAGGTCCTCCCAGGTGACTCTTATAAAGAAGGTTTGGAAACAATGTCTAAGCCTTGCTGTTCAGAGTGTGGCTAGTGGACCAGCAGCATCTGTATGGCCTGGGGTATCTTGTTTAAACCGCCAATGTCAGTCCTACCCCAGACAGACAACCGGAATCTGCCTTTGAACAGTGTAGTAGCTTGGCTTTTGATCTGACCACTTCTTTGTTTTCATTTTAGTAGGGTTCCTCCCCCGAATTCCTTGCCCCAGTCCTCTCCAGAAGAGCCAGTGTCCCCTGCCTCTCCCTACCTGAGACCTGTCCCATCCCCGGAGGATGCTCACCCCAACCTCCCACCACCCAGAGATGACAGGGAAAGGTGCTCTGTGAAGCTAAAGGACCTAAACAGCTGGAGATCTTGCCTTGTTAGAGAAGGCTGACTTGACTCCCAGGTCCTCCGACCTGCGCAAATTCCAGACCCCCAGGCCTGTCTCATGATCTCAATTTTGGTTGCTCTGCTTTGTCTCCATCAAGTGTTCTGAAGCATTTCACACACGACTGGGCTTAGGCAATTTGGTCAGATCTTGAAACTTCTGATCATGGTCTCTAGAACCGTAGGTTTACTCTGCCCTGATCCCATGGTGATGTCCCCGTGTGCGGTGGCACAGAGACAAACAAAGAGGGGGGATGCCTCCTGAGATAAGGAGACCAATCAGATGCCCGTCTGGCCGTGTCCTAAAGGAGCTTAAGTGAGGCTTAGCCGTAGCGGTCTCAGCGTTGTGACTTACGATCGGAAACTATTCTGATGCTGCCATAGACCGTATGCAGTTCACCACGGAATCGCAGACAGGCCCACTCAGACTCTGTAGGCTTCTGGGGACCATAAGGGTGCCCGCCCGTGGAGTCAAAGAATCAGTCAGCTTGAGCAAGCCGGGCTGGACTGCACATTCACTCACACATTCACACTCCAGAAGTTATTACATTCCCTCCCTGGGAATCCCTACCTGTGAGACCTCCAAGAGGTCTCTGGGAGGTGATCAGGCTCCCTTCCACCCCATTGGGGGTGGGCCTGTCTGGGTCCTGGGGCCCCAGGCCTTACCAGAATCCAACGTTGGGACCAGGTCCTCACCTGCCAACTCTCCTTGAATCCGGCAGTAACAGCGGAGCGGGGCCGGCCTGAGACAACCGGGGCAGGAGACTGCCGAAAATTAGGCAGGGTGCGCCTTCTCCATTACAATCCCTCCTTCCATCACTGCCCCGCCGTTGACCCCAAACTGGTGGCAACAATGGGCCAGCGTGGTTGGGTTTCCCGGTCAGGGAACCAAATGTTACGGAACCTGGACTGGCTCGCCTGACGGAAGAACCAAGCGGCACCCGGAGATCTTGGAAGACCGGAGGTTTATTTAATGCTGGCGGGCTCAGAGGAGAGTGGTCTCCAAACGTCTGAGCCCCGAGCACAAACAAAGGGGGCAATTTATACACTTCTACTTCCGCATACTTGGCACTTTTGGCACGTGTGTGAAGCGGGGCAGGGAGAAGAACCCGGATTGGGGCACGCAGAAAGCAGAGCAGGGAGAAGAACCCGGAAGAGCCCCGGGGCAAGGACTGGGATGCTCTCACTGGCTCGGTCGGCCATCTTAGGACCCAGATTTTCCTTATCAATACAACCCAAGACCTGACCATCATGAAGAAATGAATTGTTATTCTATACCAGTAACTGCTGAGATATACACGTATACATATTTTATTGATAAACTACCCATGAAAAAGTAATTTTGTTGCATCTAAGACATACCAAAGCACTGGGGATGGATATATGGGGAAGTAGCGGTGGAGAGAAGGGGCAGCAGTGGTGATTTTCAGCAAAGACTGCTGCCTTTGCAGCTCTATGGGATTAAACCAAAATAAGAAATTGTCTAGTCTTGTTGGGGCGCCTGGGTGGCTCAGTCGGTTAGGCGACTGCCTTCGGCTCAGGTCATGATCCTGGAGTCCCGGGATCGAGTCCCGCATCGGGCTCCCTGCTCGGCAGGGAGTCTGCTTCGTCCTCTGACCCTATCCCCTCTCATGTGTTCTCTCTCTCTCATTCTCTCTCTCTCAAATAAATAAATAAAATCTTTAAAAAAAAAGACATTGTCTAGTCTTGTATTCACTACAGTTTCCGATTTTCAATAGTTCAACTTACGATTTTTCTACTTTACAGTGGAGCAAAAGCGATACCCATTCAGTGGAAATCATACCTTGAATTTTGATCTTTTCCCAAGCAAGTTGAAATGTGGTACAATATTCTTTTGTGATGCTTGCAGCAGCAGCTGCGCCTCCAACTCAGCCCCACAGTTGCCAGGGTAAACAACCTATGTACAACCATTCTGTTCTTCACTTTCAGGACAGTACTTCAATAAAGCATGTGTTATTATAAAATAGGCTTTGTGTTAGAGGATTTTGCCCAACTGTAGGCTAATGGAAATGTTCTGAGCACGCTTAAGGTCGGCTAGGTTAAGCTATGATGCTGGATAAGTTTACTGAATGCATTTTCAACTTACCATATCCAGAGGTAACCCATCATAAGCCGAGTAAATTGGAGAAGAGGAAATGATGGAACAGCCAAACTGTGAGGCTGAGAAGACGGTGAAGTCAAGAGGAGGGACCCTTTAAGTACGTTGCTGACCATGCCTAGAAGGCCTGCACAAAAAGCTTCAAGTTGGGCTGCCTGCCAATCATCTTCTGGATCTGCAGTCGCTGATAATATTTAGGGATACACTCCCCCATGTTCATTCGCATTTTTGTACCACTGCTTGGCGAGGGTCAGATCTTGAAGGTCTCTGGGTCTTGGCTTCTTCACCTGTAAAATATGGGGCCTGCATCACCGTGGAGAGTTCCTGGGACGCACTCGGACTCGCAGCAGCACCCCGTTGTGGGAAGCGGAGCGCGGCCCAGTCCTTAACCCTTTTTGGCTGAGGCTGGGGAGGACGCACAGAAAGCAGGAAGGTGTGGTTCGCTCTGAAAGAGCGTGGGAAGGGGGCGCACCACAGGGCGAGCGCGGCTTAGCAGCCCCGGCGCCGCCACAACCTGCGGGCTCCGCAGCTGCGCCGCGACGCGGGCCCGGGACTGCGGACACCCGGCCGGCCCCGGCTCCCGCGGTTTCCCGCCCGCAGACCTGCGCACACACTACCCGCCCCCTCGCTCTCCCGCCCCGCCCCGGCGCGCGGGAGGCTGGGCTTTGGCACAGGGGCGGACCCCGCGCACGCTCCCGCCTCTCTCCCCGCCTCCCTCTCTGGGTCCCGCCCAGCGGCGCAGGGGGCCGGGCTCCGGCGAGGGGGGCGGTGGCCGTGGCGGTGACAGCCGCTCCCCGCCCCTGAGGGTCGCCACGTCCCTCACGTACCGCCCGGCCGAGGCGCGGAGCGGCGAGCGGCCGCGGCTCCGACTCCTCCGGCGGGGCTCGGCATGAGGCTGGCGCGGCTGCTGCGCGGAGCCGCCTCGGCCGGCCCGGGCTCTGGGCTGCGCGCGGCTAGCCCCGGCGGCAGCCGCAGCCTCACCTCGGACTCGGGCTCCAGGCCGGCGCCCGAGAGCGGCGTTCCGGGCCAGGTGGACTTCTACGCGCGCTTCTCGCCGTCCCCGCTTTCCATGAAGCAGTTCCTGGACTTCGGTGAGTGCGGCCCGGGCCTCGGGCCTTTGTGCGCGGCCCTGCGCGGGGAAATGCGGCCCCTGACCCGGGCCGGGCCCGGCCCGCGCTGGCCCGCTCTCACCGCCGGCGCACCCCTCCTCCTTAACGTCTCCTCCCCCAGCGCTTTAGGTGCTTCCTTCCTCCCTTGCGGGCAGATCCTCTAGCTCAGGTGCTGGCGCAGGCGGGCCGGGGGCGTGTGCCTTTTCCCTGTGTGTTGTTGAAAAACAAACAGGGAGGGCCGCGGGCGGAATGACCTCCCGCCTTTCAGCGCACGTGTGCAGAACCGTGCTCTCTGCCAGGTCCCTTCCGAAGAAGAGCCGAGCTCCGGCTAGAGGCAAGTGTGTGCACACCTCCGGGAGTCGTGTTCCGATTCTTCAGAGTGATGATAAATGCTCAGTTTGTATATGATGATTGTATAAAGTTGACATGATGATAGGAGAAGCAGGTTATAACTGGCCCGAGTGTTTTCATAGAATGTTTTCCTTGCCGCTTGCCTAATAGTGTTCCACCAACAGCACATTCATTTCATCATCAGCATAGTCTTGAGCACATGTGAAGTGCGTGAACACAAGTGCTGTGGGGATTACCAGATTGCACCCTATCCACTTTCCTCTTCCTCTGGTGGACGCTTCCTGGTTTTCTCTAGAAAGGATGCAACAGATTGCAGAGAAAATGAAAAGTTAGACTTTTTGACTTCTCATATGGGGGTGTTGAGGGGGAAAGGGAAAACTAATATAGTCGTATAATTTCAGTAGAAAAAATTATCTTCTGCGTTGTACTGACTGTTAAGTCAGTAATGGATCATTAGTGGGCTCGAAAGATACCAGCAAGCCGGAAGCTTTATCTTAAAATTGTGGTGTACAGTGGCAAAATTTTTTTGGCACACAGCCCTCGTTTTTGTTTGTACCTTAAAATGACTGTAGTGTGATTAAGGGGTGAATTTGGCCTTGTTCACAGTATCCTATTAAACTTTCTCAAGAAAATGCTTTCCTTTAATTTGGCCATTCCTGCTATGGACAATCTAGTTATTGCTAAGGTTGCCTCTTGCTAAAAAGCAAGATTAAATTCGTGAGTTTAAAACGCACTGCTGAAATAACATGACTTTTTAGTTTAACTTTAAATGGAACTGCTTGCCAAAGGCCATTCTACAAATGTTCTGCCTAGCATCTTGATAGGAGTGGAAGAAGAGCAGGCTGCTTTCCAGGAATCAGACAATTGAAAAACCGGGGGGGGGGGGGGGGGGGGGGGGTGCAGGGGTTCAAAGCTTGAAGATGGTTGCTGAACAGGCATTGGTATTTTTTGCTTTCTGTTACCTGAAAGCCCTCCTCTACACTGAGTCTTGTTTATCATGGTTCTCATGCATATACCACTACTCTGTTTATCTTAGGTATTCATTTCTTATAAACCTGGAGTTAGGAAGCAGATTTTCTAAATAATAGCAGCAACTGGTTACATAGGATAGGCTTTGGCCATCCTACTGTTCATTGGACTCCACACCTTGCTCAGACTTGCTCAGGTTGCCTTGGTTCTGAGATGATCCCCTACGGATGATGGAGACAGGAAAGTATCTTCATCACTCTACAAAGCAATTGGAATGTCAGGAATTAGCAGGTCATTTAGGATGCCTCACAACCCAACTGAGTGGGTTATCTTGTCCTTTGCCTCCTCTTTCTTTCCCTGTCATTATGGTGATGCTACCGCTCTGTCGTTGCCCAATAACTCGCTCTGTGTTTCTCCCTGCCACTTGGCTTCTACTGCCTTATGGCCTCTACTTATTGCTGTTCCCACCCTATTTGGTTTTAGGATCTATGAATGCTTGTGAAAAGACCTCATTTATGTTTCTGCGGCAAGAGCTGCCTGTTAGATTGGCAAATATAATGAAAGAAATAAGTCTTCTTCCAGATAATCTTCTCAGGACTCCATCAGTTCAATTGGTACAAAGCTGGTAAGATTCCCATCTTGTGTTTGCAGTTTCAGTGGACTTGTAGGCTTGACTTAAGGTGAAAGCAAATACTTTTTTTTTTAACTCTTCAGTGGATTCAGAGCATTCCTCCTCTTTTTATGGGTATGTCTAGGCTTGTCCCCTGAATCCTGGACTCTACCAGTCCTTGACTTTGAAAAAAAAAAAAAAAAAATCAGAACTACACAGAAATACACACACTAACTTTATGATTTGTTATTGAATCTGCAGGATGTTATATTATAATAAAAAATATCTATCATGTGTTGATGGCTAGGGGTTTATGTATTTACCTTTAATCCCCTCGACAACTCTGCCCATTAGGCATTATTATCTCCATTTTACAGATTAGGAAACTGAGGCACCTACAGGTCTTTTGCCAAAGGCAGTACCACTCATAGTGGAGCTGGGATTCAAGCCCAGATTTGTTTCTTTCTACTATACCATGCTATAGTCAGAATGATAAAATGTATTAAAGGGTGTATATATTTTTTTAGTAAACTGAATTTATTTTATTGAAGTATATCTTTATCAAACACAAAAGTTAAAATCTTTTTTCTACCATTTATTTTATTTTTTTAAAAAAGATTTTATTTATTTAATTGACAGAGAGAGAGAGAGAGGCAGACAGACAGCGAGAGAGGGAACACAAGCAGAGGAAGTGGGAGAGGGAGAAGCAGGCTTCCCACCCAGCAGGGAGCCCGATGCGGGCTCCATCCCAGGACCCTGGGATCATGACCCGAGCCAAAGGCAGTTGCTTAACCAACTGAGCCATCCAGGCACCCTTTTTTCTACCATTTAAAAATAATTAGAAATTAGTGGAATCATATAAGAAACTATAATCTCTTCCAAAATATGACAGTGGAGGTGCATGCATATGTGGCCACTTAAACACAGCCTTTCTTGTTAATGTTATTAACTTACAAGTATTATTCTTTTAAGCACTATACATTTCAAACAAAAGAGTCTACCAGAGTTCAGTCTTAAATAGAAAAAAAAATTAGCTGCAAGATTTTTCCCAGTTATGATTCATGGAGATCTTAGCTTTTTTTTTGTAGGTATCATAGTTTGTAGGAGAAACTGATAGAACTTCAATTTAAAAAAAAAGCGAAAGAAGTGTATGATTGTTATAATATGTGATAATGAGATGTTTGCTATCTAGTTCAAATACGGGACAATTATAAATGTGGTTTAAAGAAGAGGCATTTGTTTAGGAACTGTGATGGAATATAAATGAGAACATATAATTTTCTATGGAAGCTTATTCCTGTTTTTAAAATTCTTCATTAAAAATAGAATATGCTGCATTTTGAAATCTGATCTGTGCCTAAAATGTTGTAGGTGCTCAACTCTCTCTTGAATAAAGAGCATAGTTTTTCTTGCCGGTGAAAAGTAAGGGTTAAAGCAAATATCAGAATCACTTGACTTTGGAATGCTTTGTACTGCAGAAAGGCACATTGCTTGTCAAGAACAGCTTTTCAAACCAACGTATGGATTTACAGATTTTTACACTTTCATTACCCCTGGATGCCTACTAAAGACAGTTGTAGATAAAGTTCCAACAGAGCAGCCAAAGCAGACCCTGTATTATGGAAGGTTATTGAATAGTAGTGAAGTGTTTTCACCTCTGGCCCTGTCCTGCCATGGTGCCTGGCAGCATGACCTTGACAAAGTCATTTGGCTTTCCTCATTTTGCTCCGTCTTTAACAGGTGATTTGCCACCTTGAATTGTTAGGTAAATTAAAAACCTACATTTTCATGACTTTTGTTTTTGTTCAGCTCTGTTTAAAAGAACTATGTGGTAAATTATAGGCTTTTAACAAATACTTGTTGACTGGACATAAGCTATTAACCTGGAGAGTGCGTGCTTCTAAAGGATAACCACCCTCAGCTCCAGCTGATCATTGCCAATGCAGAAACACTATCCAGATCATCTGATTTTTGTGTATTTATTTAAAGAAAAGCCACAAGTCTAGATTTTTAATGTAAAATCTCCCAATTTTGAAAGATTGCAACTAATAAAATTTTTTTTAAACACTCAAGGCCTATATATACGGCGTATAAGGTTTTAAAGCTCAGGTTTTAAGTTAGACTCATAGACTGATATAGGCGGGCCTCCACATTTTACTGAGACTAAGACAAGCTAAGTCATCGTCCCAGATCACACAGTTCATGGTAACAGACTCAGTTCTCATGACAATCAGCATTTATACTGTATAGTGGTAAATTTAAGAAACTGAAAAGCTATCTTAGAGTACAGAACTTAAAAAAAAAAAAAAAAGAAATAGGAAATCTTAAAATTATTATTTTAAAAGATTTTATTTATTAATTTGAGAGAGAGAGAGCGTGTTCACGCTGCACCAGCGTGTGCGCAAGCATGGGAAGGGGCAGAGGAGAGGGAGAAGCAAACTGGGCGGGGTTGGTTCTATCCCAGGACCCTGAGATCATGACCTAAGCCGAAGGCAGCCGCTTAACCAACTGAGCCACCCAGGCACCCGAAATCTTGAAATCCTTAAATTTAACCTATGTTTTTAGGAGAAAATGCACCTTCTACTACTTTGTGCCAGGCACTTTGCTTAAATGTGAATGGGTCTAAAAATCCTACTTCAACCATAATTTGTAGCACTATTCTAAATTAAAAGTTAAAAGATGTTAAAATTAAAAATACCTTTTTAGTATTTTCACAATATTGAACTTCCAAATTGTAAAAGAACAAATTTACCCCACTGATTTGCATTTTAGGTATATCCAGAGTCTTCAGGAACTTCTTGAATTTAAAGACAAAAGTGCTGAAGATGCTAAAACTATTTATGAGTAAGTGCACAATTTTTATACTCTTTAAATGTCATATAAAAAATATAAATGTATTGAGCTTAAACCTGCTGTTGGGTCACTTTAGGGAAATTAACTTTAGTTTCTCTCCACTCCAGAACATATGATAGTATATATGTTTATAGCAGCTCATACAGGTACGGCAAATACTGTACATCAGTAAATATAAGAAAAGACACAATTCAAGTGTGATGATCAGTGGAAATCTAGATGTGGCCTCGGTGCCATTCGGATGATAGGGGACTGGTGAGGACTCTTCACTTAGGGAAGAGTCACCTTCAGCTCCAGCGTGCCACCTTCAGCTCCCTCCAATCATTGCCAATGCAGAAACACTATCCGGATTGTCTGATTTGTGTGTGGGGGTTTAAAGAAAAGCAGTAAGTTTAGATTTTTAATGTAAAACCTCCCAGTTTTGAAGATTGCAACTAATTAAAAAAAATTTTTAAATACTGAAGGCCTATAAAAACGTGTCTGTGGGTCTCACTTTATGACCTCTGGCCTGTAAGATAATGGAAGTAATACAACCAATTTAATAACCAGCATACCCGAATTGATAAACCCGGGTAGTCCTCTCAGGCAATTATCTGCTTATTCCAGTGAATGTGGCTCAGAACTTAAAGACCACTTCTTTTGTTGTCCTCAGAGTTTATTACACATTTTTTTTTTACTGTCTTTAAAGATGATGGCAACATTTCACTTTTTAAACATGTATTGGTCTGAAAATAACATCAAGGATTTACTCTCTGCCTAGGTATGAAGCACACTGTGTATTTAATCTTTAAAACAATGCTATTGAGTTAATGCTGTCTGTGCACAAAGAAACTTAAGGTAGCATTAAAATCAAATAGCCAACCAGTGGTAGGATCAGGATTTGAACCCAAGCCCTCTTAAAAATAAATGTTATGCTACAGAACCTTCTGAAGATGGTTAGTCAGTGCTGAATCTAAAAAATGAGAGCAATCAAGCAGAATAATACTCTTTGGGGTTTTAAAAAGAGAGAAGTGAAATAAAGGGGTGGACTAGAAATGATGAGTTGTTTGTTGTTTTTGAGGAGTTTTGTTTGTATTTGGGATTATTAGTTTGGTTTTGAAGCAGATTACAAACTAGGAATTCCAAAAATATTTTGAGCCGTGAGAGCATCATTGGAATAAGTTAATAGTACTCAAGATGATGACTTTGAATGGGAAAGCACTCATTCAGAAGTGTAAATTCAGATAGGTATGTTACAAGATGGATTTTGTTATTTCATAATTAAGATTTCTTTTCTCTTTTATTTAGGTCTTTAAATTAACCATGCAATAATGTCTTCTAAATGACAGAAGTGGGAAGGCTGGATGACTTGAAAATTTTTCTTTTAACACAACAGTCGACTTTTCCTCTCCCATTTTTAAACTTAATAGGATCAACGAAATTAGAATTTCTTTTACTTTTCTGTTCTTAGTGGTTCTTTCTCTCTTGGAACCATAGGGAATAGTTCCCAAACAGGCAGGCTTTATTGGCTTATTCATCCTTATTCCTTACAGAGCATGTGTTCCCTAGAAGTAAGCACTCTGTCTTCTCTTAATGCTGAACGTCCCTGGAATACTGTCCTCATTGGGAGTGCTTAGATGATCTGAATTGATAATGGTTAAAGAAAACCCTTGCCATTTTTAGGATAGTCTTTTGTGGCAGCCTTACTCTTAGGAGTTCCAAGAAAATAAGTTTTAAAAGTTTTATTTTGGAGGTTTTTGTCCTGTCATAGATTCCATATATTTATGAGCTGAAATTTATTTAAATAAGCATAAGAAAACATACATCAATGATCTTTTTACTGAATTGGGGATTTCTTGCCTAGTATAGGTTAGTGAAACTTGGATTTTAGTATTAAATTCACTTGTCAAAACATTTGGCTGTTTTGACAAGTCAGGCTTGTTTAGCTTTACAGATACTGTGATTCGGATCAGGAACCGACACAATGATGTTATTCCCACGATGGCCCAGGGTGTGATTGAATACAAGGAGAGCTTCGGGGTAGATCCTGTCACCAGCCAGAATGTTCAGTACTTTTTGGATCGTTTCTACATGAGTCGCATTTCAATTAGAATGTTACTCAATCAGCACTGTAAGTATCCAGAAGTCAAGAGAAGAAGCAAAATAAAATGAGTATGTTGGTATGTTTTAAATTTATTTAGAAAACTTCCCTTTAGTAAACATTTAATTTTACTTTTTTGCATATTAAGTAAATTGCATGCAAAGGAGGTATTTTTATTGAATGTGAAATTTTTATTTTATTGAATGTATTGAATGTATTTTATTGAATGTAAAATACTATGTATTGAATGTAAAATATCTATTTACTGTTTGGTACCATTTAGAGAAACAGTCTTCAAATCTGGAAAAGGGCATTAGAGAGTTTAGCTTATTTTGTTTGTTTTTTTATTTTGATTTTTTTGATAGCTTTATTGTTTGGTGGAAAAGGAAGCCCAGCTCATCGAAAACACATTGGAAGCATAAATCCAAACTGCAATGTAGTTGAAGTTATTAAAGGTAAATATTTATATTTCTCCTTTCAGGAAGGATGCAAAAATCAAAATGTTCAGTGTTATTTCTTGCTATTAAAACAGTTATTTGGGGGGCGTCTGGGTGGCTCAGTCGGTTAAGCGACTGCCTTCAGCTCAGGTCATGATCCTGGAGACCCGGGATCGAGTCCCGCATCGGGCTCCCTGCTCAGCAGGGAGTCTGCTTCTCCCTCTGACCCTCCTCCCTCTCCTGCTCTCTGTCTCTCATTCTCTCTCTCTCAAATAAATAAATAAAATCTTTAAAAACAAACAAACAAACAAAAAAACAGTTATTTGTATCTTGAGATAAAATGTTAGGAGCAGGGCGCCTGGGTGGCTCAGTTGGTTAAGCGACTGCTTTCGGCTCAGGTCATGATCCTGGAGTCCCTGGATCGAGTCCCGCATCGGGCTCCCTGCTCGGCAGGGAGCCTGCTTCTCCCTCTGACCCTCCCCCCTCTCATGTGCTCTCTCTCTATCATTCTCTCTGTCTCAAATAAATAAAATCTTTAAAAAAAAAAAAATGTTAGGAGCAAATGTGTGGATTTGAAAATAATTTTATGATGTTAATTGTATATTATATATAGGATGAATATTTTGTTGATACAATGCTTTCTTAGGCAAAGTATGGTCATACTGTGAGAGTGTTTCACTTCAAAAAGTATATAATAACCTTTACTAGGAGCCGTAATTCATAATAGTTTGGTTTGCATCTTTCCACACTTTTTTCTGTTATACCACATATACTCATACATATGTAATTGTTATTCTTACATTGTTTGTTTTTGGAAAATGGGGTGCTATATATATATTTTTCTACAAGTTTATAGCCATCATTCCACGTTCAGTACATACAGACATACCTCAGGTTTTTGAATGGCTTAATGGGTTTATTACAATGTATTAATCCATCCTTTTGTTGCTACATATTTAGGTTTTCATTTTTTTTTTTTATTACCAACAATACTGCAGTGAACATCTTTAGATAGTGCTGACTTTGCTAGTATTTTAGAAAGCAAGATTCCTAAAATTTAAGACATTTAAAATGCATTTAAAATTTTCATACCTCCAAAAAAGTATCAAATAATGAATGAGAGTGTCTGTATCCTAAATTTTCACCAACTCTACATGTTTGTTACATGTATTGTAAATAGTTTCTTCACCTTGCTGTTTTTACTTTGTTTATGGTGTCTTTTTCTATTTGGATGTTTTTATTTTCTTTTAATCATATCTGTCATTTTTCCTTTATGGCTATTAGGTTTTGTCATGTCATACTTAAGAAGACCTTCCCTAAACAAAGATAATTAAAGTATGTTTTCTTCTATAGACAGTTTTAAATTTTCATGTATCAGTACTGTTGCCACCTTAATGCATGATATAGAAGTAAATTTATTTTAATGCTTTTTTTTGTTTTGATTCACACTAGATGGCTATGAAAATGCTAGGCGTCTGTGTGATTTGTATTATATTAACTCTCCTGAACTAGAACTTGAAGAACTAAATGGTAAGCCTGATGGTGTCTTTTCCTCAATGATTAGTGTTGTGATTATCTAAGAAGGAATGATAAGAAGAATTTAAATATGTCTTAATATAAAAGGGCTTTTCATCAACTTCTTTACTGAATATGAAAGCTGAGGGAGAGTAGTCATGTTAAGAGTGTGTGTGTGTGTAATTTAGTTGGATTCTGTCTGAAAAGCATTTTGGCTTCTTCCCTATTTTGTTTATATTTAACTGATAATGTTGATTCTTTCCTTATTTTTGTTTCTGTTTTTGGTTAGTTATAGAAAAAAAATGATGCCAAGAAAATTACATTTGACTGTTGTATGCACTTCAGTAATGTAGAATTCACCCTTTAAGAATTCTGCTTCCTGAGCAGTGAATCATTTTTGTATTGTTGAGGAAGTAAAAAGACTGGAGGTGTAAAGAGGAAAGAAAAATGCTCATCTGTTTGAGAATCTGTTTATCTCTGATGGTCTTTTCACCCGGACTAGTGCCTTTTGGACAAAAAAAATCAGATGTCTTGGAAGGAGGTTGATGAGTGTCACTGTGTTTCTGTGGGGGTGGGGTAGTTCGTAGAGGGAAAAACAGTTACTAAGTTAAGATGTCCCCTTAAGAAGAATAAAATTAAGTAGGCTTTTCCTAAGCTGTATTCTGGACCTTATAGTGGGAGAGCAATGGAAGAAGTTCTTCAATTGAAAATAGAATTGCTTGGTGTTTTTCTAAAGCCATATTAACTCTTTTGTTTCATAACAATACCATTCAGTAAAGAATCACAATGCACAAATGATAGTTTAGGAACCTGAACTTGAGCAGTTTCCAGGTGTCCCATCCATGTTTCCACGGGGCAGTTTATTCAGAGGAGAGTCCAATTTATTGGATGAATTAGAATTCTAAGGTATGGTGAGTCTTACTCCTTTGCGCTACTAAAAGTTGTTTTACATACTACCTGCCCGCCCCCTGCCCCTGCCACTGTATCCCCAACTGGGCTTCTAAATTTAATAAAATGTTTGAACGTAGAATTCATATTCCTTGATAAATTGATGCTAGTTTAATTTAATTCAGATCTGTATCCATAGAAATGCCTGAAATAAAACAGAAAACATTGCACATGGATGAAACATTTAAAAAAATGGCTTTAAAAAAATAGTATATTTACGTGAGTTGGACCATGGAACTTACAGACTTAACACTTTTGTTTTGGAAAGTAAAATTCTGACCTTAAGACTGAAAGTCCTTTTAAAAGACTCACCATCATAGAGAAAATGGGAAGCTGGATTGGCTAGATGGTTACGCAGGGTCACAAGAAGGACTGAAAACTCATGTTGTTGCCATCAGTTATAAATCTATGTGAATGTGGGGTCAAACACTAATACAGTGAAGAACTGGGGTGACAGTTCTCCCCCCCAAATAATACCACCCTCCATAGTCAATGTTTTCTTCTCATCACTACACAATATATTCTTAAAAATGCTTTAAGCACATCTCTCTGTACTTTTATATTTTTCTCTTCTGCTCTGTAGCAAAATCACCAGGACAGCCAATACAAGTGGTTTATGTACCATCCCATCTCTATCACATGGTGTTTGAACTTTTCAAGGTTTGTAAAATAGTATTACATAACCTTTATCAGTCCTTTCCTGAGGTTAGGGATCTGCTCTGAAAGTTAAGTACTCTACCAGGTTTTCCTCTGTTTCATTTAAAGATGTCATTTCATGCTCGGTGTCATGTCACGTTGCCGGCGATCAGCCTTTTGTCCACACTGATGGGCACTTCAGTGTAGTGGTAAGCTCATACTTGGAAGTCAGAAAGAATTGGGTCTGAATTCCAGTTCTGCCACTTAATCTCTGTGTGACGTTGGGCAAATTGGTCAGCCTTTTTGAGCCTACGTTTCCTCTTCTGTTAAATGAGGATAATACTATCCAGGTTATTATGAAGATTGGGAGTAGCAGACTAAGTGTCCAGTACAATGGCAGCTCAGTGTAAGTGCTCAGTAAAGTTCTGTTTTTCAAAACAGAATATTTAGAAGAATGACTCTCAATTTTCCACCCTTAGAAGACCAGAGTCCCACTATTATATGTTTGTGGAGTTTTTTGAGAAAGTCATTTATATTGACTTACAGGGCTTTTGCTATTATATTTGCTCTTTACAACAAATTTCAAAAACTAAATAAAATTATGCTAGAAATGTTAAGAGTACTTTTTTCCCCCAATAACACACCAATGACACTTGCTGATAGACAGAAAAGCGAGTGATAAGGACTGGTACAGGTCCTTGTGGCTGAAAATGACTACTCTAAATCAAGCCTATATAATCAGTCTCTTCCTTTAGTTACCATGTCTTCAGCCAGTAGCCAACTAGTAGAGAGCAGAGGTGGCTTTCAGTCGGATCATGAAAAAGAAAAACACACTGAAACACAGAAAATCTGGCTGAATTCTTAGAACAGCAAGAGTTCAAGAATGCTCTTCTATTCCTAGGACAGCATACAAAAATCTTCCTATCAAAGTGGTTAAATAAATAAGCGATTGGCGCTTAAAGGATTAAAATTAATTTTTTCCTTGAAGTTTCAGTTACTAAAGATCTTATTCCCCATGATGCTTAATAAAAGAAATATGACTGTATTCTATAATAGATTTTACATAGTGTCATTAATAATGGCTTTCATCTGAAACCTAATTTTATTAATAGCCTTTGGTAGAGACGATAGCATCTTTTTCTCAGGGATACCCAACCCTGATGAGTGTGCAGGGCCACACACTCTTATTTCCAAATTCAGTCCCATCTTTTGCCTTTTTAACTGTACCTAGTTTTATCAGTTTCTACTCCAGTGCTACATGTCATGGTATCTCTTAGTGTTTATACCATGTAGGCATTGTGTACCATGTATCCTTTAGGAATTGATCAAAACAGTTTTACAGTGTAAATATCCTTAGTTTCAAACTAGTGGTGAATTAGCTTAGTTTCTACATCATAATAAGACCATTGCAATGAGTGCTATACGAAATTTTTTTTTCCTTCAAAGTAATTTTTGGCAATTAAAAGGATTCTTAAAAATAGAGACAAAACTCTTTTCAAAAATAAGATTTGCTTGTTATCTACTAAATTATAAAAGTATTTGGATAGGATTTTTGGCTTCAATGTAAACTAGTCAAAGTGTTGAAATGCCTGGTTTTGGAAAATGAGCAGAATTTAATTGAAATCTTTAAATCAAAGTATCTCACAGTCCTCCAAAATGGACAGTAATTTTTAAAATTCTTTATAATTATAAGAATTGTGATATTTTGGCATATTTCCAGCAAATTAAAAATTTTTAAATTTCAAGTCATGCATATATATTTGAAAATTATAATTAGTTTCTCTTTTTTTAATGTTGTATTTTGAATGGAACCCTAATGTATTTCAGAACGCAATGAGAGCAACGATGGAACACCATGCTGACAAAGGTGTTTACCCCCCTATTCAAGTCCACATCACACTGGGTAATGAGGATTTGACTGTGAAGGTAAATGCTTTCTGGCTTGTTTGTTTTAATTGATGTGCAGGCATGTACATAATTTCCTGAAGACATAACTTATTCTTGGGAGAAAGAAATCCTATCTCTCATAGCTCATCAGCACATTGCTTCATTTATCTGGGAGATTCTGGAAATTATCCCCTGAGTCTGTTTCTATTCTGGTCCATAATCCAGATGATTCAAGTAAAAGTAAATCCTGAAGACAGACAGTTTAGCAGTAATCATGAATATCCACTTGGATAAGTAAAAGCTAAAATATTTGAGTGCTTACAGTGTTATGTAGATAGTATATAATGTTTCATTTTTAAGCAGTGTTTTTCAATCTACTTTTATGTTGTTTCATTTGCTTCTCATAAAAGCTCCTTCCTTAGGAGCACAGGTAATCTTATTGTTGATTTTACAGATGAGGAAACTAAGACACAGTGAGTAGCTCATAATTACACAGCAAATAAATGCCACAGAACATGAAATCAGGCTCTCTGACCCCAGGCTTTTTCCACTGCATTGTTCAGATAGTCCACTTTCTTAGAGTATGATGATTCTCTTTTTTAAATAATAATTTTAAATTTTGTTTTAGAGTAATAAATGCAAAGAGTATAAAAAATCAAATACATTAGTTCCTGGCCATTTGTAGGTCACTCCTCAGTCTTTTAGTTATTTTTTCTGGGATTTATTGGTATATTTTTAAGTAGGATTCTGATATCACTACTTCTGAAATATAACAGTTTTCAACAGCAAATATTAGCTTTCTGTTAAGGTAGGTGAGGAGTTAGTCTGTTAGAGCACCTCCCCTCCCCAACCCAGCCTCAACTGCTATTTTCATACATAAAATTATAGACTGAAAATAATCATCTTGCAGAATTTGAAGACCATCTACTGTTCCTTATTTTAAAAGCATATAATTCAATTACTCAGCCATCAAAAAGGAATGAAATCTTGCCATTTGCAACGACATGGATGGAGCTAGAGCAGATTATGTTAAGCGAAATAAGTCAGAGAAAGACAAATACCATATGATTTCACTCATATGTGGAATTTAAGAAACAAAACAGATGAACATATGTGGGTGGCAGGGTGAGAGAGAGGGAAACAAACCATAACAGACTCTTAAGGATAGAGAACAAACTGAGGGTTAATGGAGGGAGGTGGGTGGGGGGTGAGCTAGATGGGGATGAGTATTAAGGAGGGCACTTGTTATGATGAGCACTGGGTACTACTGTATGTAAGTGATGAACCACTGAATTCTGCTCCTGAAACCAATATTGCACTGTATGTTCACTAACTAGAATTCAAATAAAATTTTGAAAAAAAAAAAGAAAAAAGTGTAGAATTCAGTGTTTTTAAGAATATTCACAAGGTGTGCTACCATGGTACTGTCTAATTTCAGAACATTTTCATCACTCTCCAAAAAACCTCCATACCCATTAGTAGTCACTCCCCAATTTCTCCTTCTCCCCAGTCCTTGGCAACCGCTAATCTGTGTATGGATTTCCCTATTTTAGACATTTCATAAAAATGAAATTCTATAACATGTGGTCTTTTGTGACTGACTTCTGCCACTTAATGTAATGTTATAGCAGGTATCAGTACTTCCTTTTGTGGTTGAATGATACTCTGTAGTATGGGTATGACACATTTTGTTTATCCATTCATCAAGTTGATGAACATCTGGGTTTTTTCCATTTTTGGGGTGTTAGGAATAATGCTGCCATTCATGTAGAAGTCTTTGTGTGAACATAGGTTTTCATTTGTCTTATGTATACACATAGGAGTTGAACTGCTTATAGGTAACTGTTTAGGTTTTGAGGAACTGCCGAACTATTTTCCAAAGTGACCTTACCATTTTACATTCCTGCCAGCACTGTATGAAAGTTCCAGTTTTTCCACATCATTGTCAACATTTGTTAGAATCAGTCTTTTTGATTATAGCTATTCTAATGGGTATGAGTGATATCTCACTGGTTTTGATTTGTGTGAGAGATAATGGTGAGCATCTTTTCATGTGCTAATTGGCCATTTGTCTATCTCTGAAGAAATGTCAGTTAAGATCCTTTGCTCAGTTTTTAGGTGGATTGTCTTTTAATTGTTTTAGTGTTTAGAGTTATCTTTCTATATATATTTTTTATTATAGATACTAGTTCCTGATAAGATATATGATTTGAAAATGTTCTATTCTGTGGCTTATCTTTTCACTTTTTTTTTTTAAGATTTTTATTTATTTATTTGAAAGGAAAGAGACCGTGTGTGTGTGTGTGTGTGTGTGTGAGAGAGAGAGAGAGAGAGAGAGAGTGTGAGAGGGAGAGAGAGCACATGAGCAGGGGGAGGAGCAAAGGGAGAGGGAGAAGCCGACTCCCCGCTGAGCAGGGAGCCTGATGCCGAGTTTGATCCCAGGACCCTGAGATCGTGACCTGAACCAAAGGCAGATGCTTAACCAACTGAGCCACCCAGGCACCCCAGTTTTATTCTTCTTTAAATGCTTGGTAGAATCTACCAGTGAAGCCATCTGGCCTGAGTTTGTGTTGTAAGATTTTGATAACTAGTTCAGTCCCTTCATTTAGTATCAGTCTGTTCAGATTTTCTGTTTCTTTTTTTTTTCTTAAGATTTATTTTATTTTATTTATTTTATTTTTTTTTAAGATTTTATTTATTATTTGACAGAGAGAATGAGAGAGAGAGAGAGCACATGAGAGGGGGGAGGGTCAGAGGGAGAAGCAGACTCCCCGCCAAGCAGGGAGCCCGATGCGGGACTCGATCCCAGGACTCCGGGATCATGACCTGAGCTGAAGGCAGTCGCTCAACCGACTGAGCCACCCAGGCGCCCTTAAGATTTATTTTAGAGAGAGGGAGGAGTGTGCAGGTGGGGAGGAGAGGTAGAGGGAGAAGGAGAGAAACTCAAGCGGACTCCGCTCACTGAGCGGAGCCTGATGCAGGGCTTGATCTCATGACCCTGAGATCATGACCTGAGCTGAAATCAAGAGTCGGACACTTAACTGACTGAGCCACTCAGGCGCCCCGTATCTTCTATTTCTTCCTGAGGTAGTTTCTGTAGTTTGTGTCTTTCTAAGAATTTGTACATTTCACCTAGATTGTCTAATTTTTTGGCATAGAATTGTTTATAGTATTCACTCATAATCCTTATTTTTGTAGGATTGCTAGTAATGTCCCCACCTTCATTCTTGACTTTATCCGTTTGAGCCTTCTCCCTTTTTTCTTGATCAATCTAGCTAAAAGCTTGTCAATTTTGTTAATCTTTTCAAAAAACCAACTTCTGTTGAGTTTTTGCCATTGTTTTCTATTCTTTATTTCATTAATTTCCCCTCTAATGTTTCTTTCTTTTGCTTGCTTTGGAGTTAGTTTGATCTTTTTTAGTTTCTTTTTTTTGTTTGTTTGTTTCTTAAGGTGGGAATTTAGGTTATTCATTTAAGACCTTTTATAGCTATAAATTTCCCTCTAAGTACTGCTTTCTCTCTATCCCATAAGTTTTTTTATGGTGTGTTTTCATTTTTATTTATCTCAAATATTTTCTAATTTCTCTTCTGATTTCTTTGACCCATTGGTTCTTTGGGAGTATGTTGTTTAATTTGTATATATTTGTTAATTCCCACATTTTGTTCTGTTATTGATTTCTAATTTCATTCTATTACGGTCAGAAATATAGTATGTTTGATTTCAGTTCTTTTACATTTATTGAGACTTGTTTTATGGCTAACATAGGGTCTATGGAAAATGTTACATATCTTGGAGAATGTTTCATGTGTACCTGAGAAAAATGTGTATCCACTGTTGTTGGATAGAGTGTTCTATAGATAGTACTTAGGCCTACTTTGTTTATAGTGTTGTTCAAATCTTCTGTTTTCTTGTTGATCTTCTATCTAGTTGTCATATCCATTTTTGGAAGTGGGGTATTAAAATCTCCCAACTATTATTGAGACTTGTCTATTTCTCCCTTCAATTCTGTCAGTTTTTGCTTCATGTATTTTGGAGCTCTGTTGTTAAAGTGTATATATGTTTATGATTTTATGTCTTTGATATATTGGCCTTTTATCATTGTAAAATGTCCTTCTTTGTCTCTGATAATAATTTTTGTCTTAAAGTGTATTTTTATCTGTTACTTGTATAACCATCCCAGCTTTCTTTTGGTTTCTGTTTCCACAGTGTATCTTTTCCCAAGATTTTACTTTCTTTTTTTTTAAGATTTTATTATTTTTTCAGTAATCTCTATACTCAGTGTGGGGTTTGAACTCATAGCCACGAGATCAAGAGTCACATACTCAGCCAGTCAGGTGCCCCACAAGATTTTACTTTCAACCTGTTTATGTGTTTGAATCTAAAGTGTGTCTCATAGACAACATATGGTTACATTATGTTTCTTTATTTTTTAATCCAGCTGGCCAGTGTCCATCATTTAATTAGGGTGTTCAAGTCAGTTGCATTTAACATAATTAGCGTTAATGTAGAATTTAGGTTTGCCATTTTGTTATTTGTTGTGTATGTATTTTATGTCTCTTCTGATTCTTTATTTCTCTATTACTAATGCCTTTTTTATTAAAAATGATATTTTCTGGTGTACCATTTTCATTTCCTTCTTGTTTCTTTTATTGTATTTCTTTGAGTTATTTTTTTCTTAGTGGTTGTCCCAGGATTACAATTAACGTATTAATTTATTTATAACAGCCTAGTTCAGATTAATACCAACTTAACTTCAATAGTATACACAGGTTTTGTTCCTATATAGGTCCATTCCCTCCCCCTTCCTATCCTTTGTACTGTTATTGTCATGAAACATACATTTTTATACATTGTATGTTCCTCTACATAGATTTATAATTATTATTCTCTTAAGTTGTCTTTTAAATAAGGTAGGAGAAAAAAGTTACAAAAATACACCTACACTATCCTTTATATCTACCTATGTAATTACTTTTCCTGGTGCTCTTTATTTCTTCATGTGGATTTGATTTACTGTCTAGTGTTCTTTCATTTCAGGC